TTATACGTTCTCCTCTTTAACGACAGAAGTTCTTATCGTTTTTTTTTCAATGATTCCTTAGATTTTTCGTTTTTATTTGTTTTTCATCTATGAAATATGAAATTCGATTACTTGACTTAATAGGATTTTTTTAAAAATCATAATGAAACTAGACTTTTTAATCTTTATTTCGTTATATTTAATTACAAAAAATTAAAGTTTCAACAAAGGAAAATAAAGATGAAAATCTTTTGATTGTGCTTTTATCGAGTCATCATCGCTATTGTCGTCATGATTGATAGGACAATCAGAATGTAATTCTTTCACATTGATACAATTAAGTCTCGTTGCATCTCTTGTAAAATTATTTGTTACAGTTTTTAATTGATCATAATGAATCCATAATTCTGTCAGACAAGGTAAACGTGTTTTTGATTCATTTAACATTTGGTCAACATAATCAATATGTGTACGGGGAAGGTGGAGTGATGTGAGATGAAGATATTGGACAACTTCAAATGATCCATTAGTATTGTCATGTTCAGATTCAGGTGAATCTCTTGATTGTGCTTTCCAATTTATAATAAACAAAGATTTCAATAATGGAAAACATCGAGCTAGCCGAACAAAAAATTCATGTTCGAATGGAATCCCATCATATATGCATAAAAGAGTAACATTGTTGAATATCGTATTCGTAAAGCTATTACCAATATATCCTATACAATCAAATATAAACGGAAGTGAGAAAACATGATATCTGATATCAGATTCATCGATATAATTCATACTACAACCAATTTGTCCAAATTTTACATTAGAAAAAGTTCGTTGAATATCATCATTTGATAAAAGAGTAACAGGATGATTGACACTAGTAAAAGTACAGATATAAAAAACGAATCTTTGAAGTTTTGACAAATGAATAAGAATATCATTTTCAAGTTGAATACCATCAACAAGTCTATTTCGTTCTTTGATTTGAATATATAATGTTAAATCTTGAAGATTATACATTCGATGAAGAAGAGGTACAACTTGATTATCATATCAGAGATGTCCATCGCGGCTGAAAATCTGCCGCTGCCGCGCCGCGACGGTTTATAAAAAAAGTCGTCGCGGCGCTGCCGCGCCGCGATGGTCTATAAAAAAATGTCGCCGCGGCGCTGCCGCGCCGCGATGATCTATAAAAAATGTCGCCGCGGCGCTACCGCGCCGCGACGAGTAATAAACTTGCCACTGCCGCACCGCTGCCGCGCCGCTGCCGCGATAGTTTTCAAAAAAGTGTTTCGAATTTCACTACAGCAACTATATGGGAC